CCCGGTTCCAGGGTTAGCAATACTAGAGCCCGGTTCCAGGGTTAGCAATAGTAGAGCCCGGTTCCAGGGTTAGCAATAGAATGGCCCGGTTCCAGGGTTAGCAATAGTAGAGCCCGGTTCCAGGGTTAGCAATAGAAGGGCCCGGTTCCAGGGTTAGCAATAGTAGAGCTCGGTTCCAGGGTTAGCCATAGTAGAGCCCGTTTGCAGGGTTAGCAATAGTAGAGCCCGGTTCCAGGGTTAGCAATAGTAGAGCTCGGTTCCAGGGTTAGCAATAGTAGAGCCCGGTTCCAGGGTTAGCAATAGTAGAGCCCGGTTCCAGGGTTAGCAATAGTAGAGCCCGGTTCCAGGGTTAGCAATACTAGAGCCCGGTTCCAGGGTTAGCAACACTAGAGCCCGGTTCCAGGGTTAGCAATAGTAGTGCCCGGTTCCAGGGTTAGCAATAGTAGAGCCCGGTTCCAGGGTTAACAATAGTAGAGCCCGGTTCCAGGGTTAGCAATAGTAGAGCCCGGTTCCAGGTTTCAGATGAACTGCCGTTTACGGATGAAAAATGGACCCCCATGTATTTCTGTGGACTTGCGGATGTAAACGGATGAACATCTTTTTACATCCATTATTGTCCGCATCCGTTAACATCTGTTTTTTTTTGAACGGAAGTAAACCCTATTTTTCTTTCGTTAAAAAAAACGAAACGGATGAAGAACGGATGCAAATGGATATTAATGGACCAAAAACGGATCTAAACGGATGAAAAACAGACATTTGCAGAGAGACCACTGCTTCCACACAGAAAGCAAAGGTCCTTTTAGTTATAGATAAAACTTTAATATCTAAACTGATGAAAATCGGATGTAAATGGATCTAAATAGATGAAAAACGGATGTATATGGATCAACACGGATGAAAAATGGATATAAGAACGGATATAAACGAATGAAAAATGAATGTAAATGGATCGACACGGATATAAAAGCGGATGAAAAAACGGATGTAAATGGATCTAAATAGATGAAAAAACGGATGTAAATGGATCAACACGGATGAAAAATGGATATAAGAACGGATATAAACGAATGAAAAATGAATGTAAATGGATCGACACGGATATAAAAGCGGATGAAAAAACGGATGTAAATGGATCTAAACGGATGAAAAACGGATATAAAAATGGATGTAAATGGATCTAAACAAATGAAAAACGGATATAAAAACGGATGTAAATGGATCTAAACGGATGAAAAACGGATATCAGGGTTCCAGGGTTAGCAATACTAGAGCCCGGTTCCAGGGTTAGCAATACTAGAGCCCGGTTCCAGGGTTAGCAATACTAGAGCCCGGTTCCAGGGTTAGCAATGCTAGAGCCCGGTTCCAGGGTTAGCAATAGTAGAGCCCGGTTCCAGGGTTAGCAATAGTAGAGCCCGGTTCCAGGGTTAGCAATAGAAGGGCCCGGTTCTAAAAATCCCCAGAGGCAGTCAAAGACAGCGAAAACCAATTGCATTCCTAATCTTTCCCCAGCAATAAAAACTTTACAGAGGTTCCGCTTTCACTCTAAGGGTCTTTTCACACGGGCGTTCTGTTTTTTTTCTTCAATTCAGTCACGTTTTTTCCAAGAAAAAACGGATGAGTTTACATCTATTTTTTCATCCGTTTTTATATCCGTTTTTTCATCCGTGTAGATCCATTTACATCGGTTTTTTCATCCGTGTAGATCCGTTTTTCATCCGTGTAGATCCGTTTTTCATCCTTGTAGATCCATTTACATCCGTTTTTATATCCGTTTTTTCATCCGTGTAGATCCATTTACATCGGTTTTTTCATCCGTGTAGATCCGTTTTTCATCCGTGTAGATCCGTTTTTCATCCTTGTAGATCCATTTACATCCGTTTTTATATCCGTTTTTCATCCGTTTAGATCCATTTACATCCGTTTTTATATCCGTTTTTCATCCGTTTAGATCCATTTACATCCGTTTTTTCATCCGCTTTTTATATCCGTGTCGATCCATTTACATTCATTTTTCATTCGTTTATATCCGTTCTTATATCCATTTTTCATCCGTGTTGATCCATTTACATCCGTTTTTCATCTATTTAGATCCATTTACATCCGATTTTCATCAGTTTAGATATTAAAGTTTTATCTATAACTAAAAGGACCTTTGCTTTCTGTGTGGAAGCAGTGGTCTCTCTGCAAATGTCTGTTTTTCATCCGTTTAGATCCGTTTTTGGTCCATTAATATCCATTTGCATCCGTTTTTCATCCGTTTCGTTTTTTTTAACGAAAGAAAAATAGGGTTTACTTCCGTTAAAAAAAAAACAGATGTTAACGGATGCGGACAATAATGGATGTAAAAAGATGTTCATCCGTTTACATCCGCAAGTCCACAGAAATACATGGGGGTCCATTTTTCATCCGTAAACGGCAGTTCATCTGAAACCTGGAACCGGGCTCTACTATTGCTAACCCTGGAACCGGGCTCTACTATTGTTAACCCTGGAACCGGGCTCTACTATTGCTAACCCTGGAACCGGGCACTACTATTGCTAACCCTGGAACCGGGCTCTAGTGTTGCTAACCCTGGAACCGGGCTCTAGTATTGCTAACCCTGGAACCGGGCTCTAGTATTGCTAACCCTGGAACCGAGCTCTACTATTGCTAACCCTGGAACCGGGCTCTACTATTGCTAACCCTGGAACCGGGCTCTACTATTGCTAACCCTGGAACCGGGCCATTCTATTGCTAACCCTGGAACCGGGCTCTACTATTGCTAACCCTGGAACTGGGCTCTACTATTGCTAACCCTGGAACCGGGCTCTAGTATTGCTAACCATGGAACCGGGCTCTACTATTGCTAACCCTGGAACCGGGCTCTACTATTGCTAACCCTCGCACTGGGTTCTACTTCACCTAACCCTGGAACCGGGCTCTACTATTGCTAACCCTGGAACCGGGCTCTACTATTGCTAACCCTGGAACCGAGCTCTACTATTGCTAACCCTGGAACCGGGCTCTACTGTTGCTAACCCTGGAACCGGGCTCTACTATTGTTAACCCTGGAACCGGGCTCTACTATTGCTAACCCTGGAACCGGGCTCTACTATTGCTAACCCTGGAACCGGGCTCTACTATTGCTAACCCTGGAACCGGGCTCTACTATTGCTAACCCTGGAACCGGGCTCTACTATTCCTAACCCTGGAACCGGGCTCTAGTATTGCTAACCCTGGAACCGGGCTCTACTATTGCTAACCTGGAACCGGGCTCTGTTATTGCTAACCCTGGAACCGGGCTCTACTATTCCTAACCCTGGAACTGGGCTCTACTATTCCTAACCCTGGAACTGGAACTGGGCTCTACTATTCCTAACCCTGGAACCGGGCTCTACTATTCCTAACCCTGGAACCGGGCTCTACTATTCCTAACCCTGGAACCGGGCTCTAATATTGCTAACCCTGGAACCGGGCTCTACTATTCCTAACCCTGGAACCGGGCTCTACTATTCCTAACCCTGGAACCGGGCTCTACTATTCCTAACCCTGGCACCGGGCTCTACTATTGCTAACCCTGGCACTGGGCTCTACTATTGCTAAGCCTGGCACTGGGCTCTACTATTCCTAACCCTCGCAATGGGTTCTACTTCACCTAACCCTGGAACCGGGCTCTACTACACCTACCTCTGGCCCTGGGCTCTACTATTTCTAACCCTGAAACCACGTTCTACTATTCCAAACCCTGGAACCGGGCTCTACTATTCCTAACCCTGGAACCGGGCTCTACTATTCCTAACCCTGGAACCGGGCTCTACTATTGCTAACCCTGGAACTGGGCTCTACTATTGCTAACCCTGGAACCGGGCTCTAAATATTGCTAACCTTGGAACCAGGCTCTACTGTTGCTAACCCTGGAACCGGGCTCTACTATTGCTAACCCTGGAACCGGGCTCTACTATTGCTAACCCTGGAACCGGGCTCTACTATTCCTAACCTTGGAACCGGGCTCTACTATTCCCAACCCTGGCACCGGGCTCTACTATTGCTAACCCTGGCACTGGGCTCTGCTATTCCTAACCCTCGCAATGGGTTCTACTTCACCTAACCCTGGAAATGGGCTCTGCTACACCTACCTCTGGCCCTGGGCTCTACTATTTCTAACCCTGGAACCAGGCTCTACTATTGCTAACTCTGGAACCGGGCTCTACTATTGCTAACCCTGGAACCGGGCTCTACTATTGCTAACCCTGGAACCGGGCTCTAGTGTTGCTAACCCTGGAACCGGGCTCTACTATTGCTAACCCTGGAACCGGGCTCTACTATTGCTAATTCTGGAACCAGGCTCTACTGTTGCTAACCCTGGAACCGGTCTCTTGTTGCTAACCCTGGAACCGGGCTCTACTGTTACTAACCCTGGAACCGGGCTCTACTGTTGCTAACCCTGGAACCGGGCTCTGCTGTTGCTAACCCTGGAACCGGGCTCTGCTGTTGCTAACCCTGGAACCGGGCTCTGCTGTTGCTAATCCTGGAACCGGGCTCTGCTATTGCTAATCCTGGAACCGGGCTCTGCTATTGCTAACCCTGGAACCGGGCTTTACTATTGTTTAACCCTGGAACCGGCTTTACTATTGCTAACCCTGGCACTGGGCTCTACTATTTCTAACCCTGGCACTGGGCTCTACTATTCCTAGCCCTCACACTGGGCTCTACTTCACCTAACCCTGGAACTGGGCTCTATTACACCTACCTCTGGCACTGGGCTCTACTGTTCCTAACCGTGGTACAGGGTTCTACTATTCCTAGCCCTGGAACTGGGCTCTACTACACTTACCTCTGGCACTGGGCTCTACTGTTCCTAACCATGGTACAGGGTTCTACTATACCTAACTGGAATTGGGCTCTACTTCTCCTAACCCTGGAATTGGGCTCTACTTCTCCTAACCCTGGAATTGGGCTCTACTTCTCCTAACCCTGGCACAGGGCTGTACGGTACCTAACCCTATCTGTATCCACAGGTTCCTCTGGCTATCTTGGCCTTCAAGAGAGTCAAGATGGGGGCGGAAGATTTTAACACAAGCTACGTGGACCCGAGCCTGGACACTGCCTCACCATACTCCAGCTACCCGGACGCGGTCACCGACAACTACCAGAGGCCACCATTTACACAGAGCGCAGAGACAGACGATGGCTACAAACCGCCAGCATACTGAGCCAGATGCCGACACACCGGAAGACAACATGGCTGCCCAACCAGGAAGCCTCAGACACAGATTGACCCGTCCTCAGGGCCGGATAGGCTCACTTCACAAAGTGCCTTTTCAGTGCTTCTCACAGGAGCCAACAAATGTAAAATATGCCAAAAATGAATACCTCCTATAGGGGCGTGAGCCGTCCTGTGTGTACCACCTAGAACCACATTATGTGGTCCAGAGAACCCCGCGGGGCAGTAATCCCTGTGCAACCAGCCGCTCATTGGGCTTTATACACCAGGACCATGTTCACCTGCAGCAACCAATCGGGTTCACCTAAACTGCAGAGGGTGAATGACAGCTGATTGGTTTCAGGCTGAATAAGCCCATTTGGTCTGTCAGTCCAGCTGCCATCTTGTACCAGTAAAGTAAATTCTGATTGGTCGCTCTGGATTACTGCCCCAACCCCCTTTTGCTCCTTGCACTGTATATTTAATTAGCCGGATATTAATGAAGCCGATTGCTCTTCGCCTTCTTACACGCCATGGTTGTCATTCCCTTTCATTTGTCTGTTTGAAATCACATGACCTTTTACGATGTCACGGACATGTGGCTTTTATTTTGATTTGTAGTTACATTGTAGTTACATTTGGGATCACTCCAGAAGAGATACAATTAGGAGGGGTCTCTTGTTTGGGTTTTTTTCTTCTTTTTTTTTTTGGTTGGTGGCAGTTTTGAGCTTTGTTCACTGGATACATATGTAGAGGCATTGTGATCAATGCGATGTCAGCCATGATGTGCGCTCAGCCAATATATTACTGCAATGAATTCACTAGTGATATCACCGAGGTGCCAAAACAGGGTGGGGGAGGGGATTGCTTGACCTCTCTTCATTAAAGAGACCTTGTCATGTCTGTAAGGAATAGAAGTAGTGTTCTACTCCAGTGTCCTGTGCCCCCTACCTCCCCTCCATTCCCTGTATTAAAAGAGGCATTATACTCCTCTCAACACTTCCTACCTACTCTCCATTGCCTGAAATGGTGTTATACTCCCCTCTCCGGTGTCCCGTGTCTCCTACCTCCCCTCCGTTCCCTGTAATAGAAGAGGTATCATACTCCCCTCTCCGGTGTCCCGTGTCTCCTACCTCTCCTCCATTCCCTGTGATAGAAGAGGTATTATACCCCCCTCTCTCCGGTGTCCTGTGCCCCCTACCTCTCCTCCATTCCCTGTGATAGAAGAGGTATTATACCCTCCTCTCCGGTGTCCCATGTCTCCTACCTCCCCTCCATTCCCTGTAATAGAAGAGGGTATTATACTCCCCTCTCTGGTGTCCCGTGTCTCCTACCTCCCCTCCATTCCCTGTGATAGAAGAGGTATTATACCCTCCTCTCCGGTGTCCCATGTCTCCTACCTCCCCTCCATTCCCTGTAATAGAAGAGGTATTATACCCCCCTCTCCGGTGTCCTGTGCCCCCTACCTCCCCTCCATTCCCTGTGATAGAAGAGGTATCATACTCCCCTCTCCGGTGTCCCGTGTCTCCTACCTCCCCTCCATTCTCTGTAATAGAAGAGGTATCATACTCCCCTCTCCGGTGTCCCGTGTCTCCTACCTCCCCTCCATTCCCTGTAATAGCAGAGGTATTATACCCCCCTCTCCGGTGTCCTGTGCCCCCTACCTCCCCTCCATTCCCTGTGATAGAAGAGGTATCATACTCCCCTCTCCGGTGTCCCGTGTCTCCTACCTCCCCTCCATTCTCTGTAATAGAAGAGGTATCATACTCCCCTCTCCAGTGTCCCGTGTCTCCTACCTCCCCTCCATTCCCTGTAATAGAAGAGGTATTATACCCCCCTCTCCGGTGTCCTGTGCCCCCTACCTCCCCTCCATTCCCTGTAATAGAAGAGGTATTATACTCCCCTCTCCGGTGTCCCGTGTCTCCTGCCTCCCCTCCATTCCCCGTAATAGAAGAGGTATTATACCCCCCTCTCCAGTGTCCCGTGGCTCCTACCTCCCCTCCATTCCCTGTATTAGAGGTATTATACTCTCAACACTTCCATGAGTGATGGACTCCAATGTCCCCCCGCCTTGCACCATGGTGTCATCTTCTCAGTCCTGTAGAGACAATGGGGTCGGAGGAAGGAGCCGTGGCAAGCAATGGAGAATACAGCCATTCAACTGGTGAAGTAAGTTATGGCAGAAGACACAGGATATCGGGAGGGGTGTAGAATACTTTGATGGCGGGGAGTTGGATTTTGTTTTAAGACCTGACAGGGTCCCTGTGGTGACTCAGGCATTCCCTTCCCTAGGCTACACCCAACCAGCACTCTTTACTACAGTCAGGATCACTGAATACATCATCCACAGGGCTCAGGTGACTTGTGGCATGTCTCTAGGTAGGAAGTGAGATTTTTCTCCATAGCGGGGACATGCCCTGCAATAAAATCCCAACAAGAGGTTCCCATCCTTCCTTGCTGTAACCTAAACTCGGAAATGTTTTTTTGGCTGGAGTTCCACTTTAACTTTTTGTTTTTCCTTTTTTGCATTTCTTAGCTGTCCTGGTGCGTCTTCGCCATGATTTCACAAACGTCCAGGAATTGATACCGCCGATCGTTGTACATTGAATGATCTGTTGCATTAGTAAATTGGGGCTCGGTAATTGGGAAGCGGCGCAGTGTCACCTCCGCTGTTCAGCTCTGTCTGTAGCATATTTCAGAAAACCAAAGCAATGGGCGGAGTCTACGGTGACGCGGCCGCTCGCTTCCGAACCCCATAGAACTACTGGCTGCACTTGATGCCAAACGGTTACTGAGCTCTGTGTGGGCCCAGGGGCCGATCCTCCGTCCTGACACTGGGGGGGGCGCCGTGTAATAACGGCCTCATGGTTGCGTTTTCAGCCCGGGTTCACACTGATGCGGTGCGGATTCGCTGCGCATCAGAATCGCACCCTGTTCATGCGAATCGCTGCGGGTGTGTATGTTAATACCCCGAAAGCGGTCCGTTGTGCAGAATCGGATCGCATAGGTGTGAATACCTGTGCGATCCAATTCTAGTGCGGACCAAAAAAAGGGTCCTGCACCTTTTGGGTGCGCTGTGATTAGAACCATACAAAATGTACGGCTCCGATCGCACCGCACACAAATCGCAGGTGATTCATACAGGAATGTGGTGCGGTTTCTGTGCGAATCACATGCGATATATCGCACTGCATGTATGTGAACCCGGGCTGAGGGGTGTGAATGGAGATGATTGTAATTCTGGTGTCGGGTTTTGAGAAGAGGATCATGCATTTTCCTGCATGTCACATTGCACTGGTTTAAATGTCAATAAAGTTTTTTGTTCACCAAATACAGGAGGCCGTTTCATTCTTGAAAACCTTCATCAAACAGCCGCCGTCTGCCATACACATTCCTTTGGAAGACTTTTAGTAAAGACACATTAGAAATAACCCTGATTAGCCTCCCTAGCAGTCTGATTATGTCAGTATTTCTGTGCTCAAAGCGGTACATTTTTTTGCATGGAAATATATAGTTTTTTATTGTAGGCCTGTAATTCTTAGGAATAACTCACTGAAATCTGTCTGAACAAGAGTCTAGTAAACATCCCGGGGAGGATAAAATTTGAAACACGAAATCGTAAATTATATTATAATAAATAATCATAAAAAAATAATATAATAAATTTATTTCAATAATATAATCAAACCAAAAACACTGAAATGTGAAATAGAGCGCCAAGTTCGCACATCGCTGAGCTCAGTCGCAGAATCGTTTTCAGTGTCTGATGAGGAATTTCCCCCACGAATCATTATCACTCAATTCTGCAAGTGGTTCTGATTTACTATCGCTGTTCTCTAGCCGGTCTAAAACCGCGTCTGACCTAAAGGGACGCTTTTTGGACGCCATGGACGTTTCTCAGTTTCCAGGCAGAAAGAACAGTAAAAATGCAGGCAGGGCGCCGGACAAAGCACTCGGGACAAAATGTATGTGAAATGGTTTGATACAGGAATGGAATACTATGTGATTTTAGTGTATTTAGTGAATGTCACTTTTGGTCATTTTCAAATTCCCCGCCAGTTCTGTCCCCCGTACGGCCCGACGCTCGCAGGGGACGGAACCTAGATGACAGATGCCAGCATCGGCCGGAGGACATTGCCGGGGACACCGCAGGAGGGACATCGCGGGAGCGCAGGACAAGGTAAGTGAAGAAGAGATCCTGGAGCAACGCAGTGTATTCCCGAGTGTAGCTCGGGGGGGGGGGTTACCGCTTGTGGTGCTGAAACTTTACCCCGAGCTACACTCGGGAATATCTCCAGGGAGGTTAAGCATGTAGTGCGTTTTTGCCGCGTTAGGCTCCATGTACACTGGCATTTTTTTTTAAAGCTCCTAGAAGCTGCTGTTTAGCATTTTTTTTTTTCTGCTTCTAGAAGCAAGATAGTTATCCTGTGTCCATTCACACTACTTTTAGCTATTAGCATTTTTTGAGTTTCAGCGTCTAGGAGCACAGTGGCTAAATGGTTAGCACTTCTGCCTGGCAGTACTCAGGTCGTCGGTTCAAATCCCAACCACAGCACCACCTGCCTGGAGTTTGCATGTTGTCCCTGTGACTGCGTGGGTTTCCTCCGGGTACTCCGGTTTCCTCCCACACTCCAAAGATATGGTGGTAGGTTAATTGGATCCTGTCTAAATTGGTCCTGGTATGTGTATGTATGAATGTGAGTTAGGGACCTTAGATTGACCGCTCCTCAGGGGCGGGGACTGATGTGAATGTACAATATGTATGTAAAGTGCTGCGTAAATTGATGATGCTATATAAGTGCCTGTAGTAATAATAATAGGAGCAGAAAAAAATTGGAGTTTTTCCAGTAGAAAAAGAAATGCTAAACGCTACTAAAATGTTCCTAACCCCGGGTTCACACCTATGCGTTCTCCGCAGAGACGCAGTACAGTCCATTTCACATGATTTCCTATGGGACAGGTTCACATCTCCGCGTTTTCACCCGGTGCGTTTTATTGGAAAGGGTCAGAGACTTTTTTTTTTATTACAAAAAGTTGCGTTTTTGTTTCTATAGACTTCAGTGGAAATGCTGCAGAAAAGCATTTATTGCGTTTTAAATCTGCCCAGCAACAATTAAAAGTAAAAAAAAAAAAACTCAATGCAGAAACGGCTCAAACGCAACCTGCGTGTCAACTTAGAATTTCCACTTTTTTCCCCACCGACAGTGCAAGAACACTAATAAAACCCCCAACGCTTCTAAAATAAAATAAAATCCCTATTACCAGCGGTTTGAAAAAAAAAAAAAAAACTCACTAGTGTGCATGGAGCCTTACAATGACATCTGAAAGGGGGTGGGATCTATTAGGCAGCAAGTGAACATGTTGTCCCTGAAGTTGATGTTGGACAAGTGTAAGGATTTGAGTGACACTGACAAGGCCAAACTGTAATGTCTAGAAGACGGGGTCAGGACAACTCCAAAACTGCCGCTCTTGTGGGACGTTCCTGGTCTGCAGTGGTCAGGTGGGCCAAGGAAGGAGAACCGGTGACAGGGTCACAGGAGGAAAATTCTGATTGGTGGAGGTGGAGAGTAAAGGCCGGTCCAGGGAGTTCCATCCAGTAGAAGAGCTACTGTATCTCAGATAGTTAATGGTGGTTCTGATAGAAAGGTATTGGAACACACAATGGGTCAGTTTGCTCTGTAGCTGCAGGCCAGTCGGGGTATCAATGCTCAGACTGATAAGGGGGTACCAGCCATCCTCCTGTAGGGGGTCCAGGGCAGCTGTCAAGCTGTAGGAAGGGGAACCTGTAGGAGGGGTGATTGGTTCAGTGAGAGTGGCATTTACAGAAACAGATCCCCAGGAGTTTCCCCCCTGCAGCAGCTGAAAGTTTGCTTCCCTGCCTTTCAGCTGCTGCAGGGGGGAAACTACAGGGATGTTTCTGTAAATGCCACTCCCACTGAACCAATCACCCCTCCCTCTACAGGTTCCTCTTCCTTTTGCTGCCCAAGCTTCCCTTGCAGCACTGCTGCTTTCCCTACTCTCCCTCCTGCTGCAGGGGATTAGTGTGAGAATGGGCCAGTAAATATGTACTCTTTTCTGGCTGAACAGAGTGTGTGATTGGTACTGATCGATCATTGTGTTCATTCATAACTGAAGCATAGTGAACTGTTTACCGTGCTTTATTTTCTGAAGAGAGATCCTCTGGCCAGAGCTCTTAATGTTCATTCAGTGCAGCTGAGGCTGCAGATAGACAGTGAGGGCTGGGCCTTCAATCCTTTCCTCTGTGTCAGTGAGAGATCAGGGTTTTTTTTTCTTTAGACCCGCTCATAGTTCACCAAAGCACCCTAGACAGGACTGTTACAATCCACAGCTGAAGGGGCATGTGAGCAGCAGAATTGGATCAGAGGTGAAGAAGGTGGTCTGATAGATTCAAGAATGGTTTGAGCAACACAAGGCATTTGAGGTATTGACTTGGCCTCCAATTTCTCCAGACATCAATAAGATCAAACATCTGTTGGATGTGCTGTGTAAAAACAAGTACGAGCCATGGTGGCCACATCACTACACTGTGGTAACGGATGACTGGGTGTTGTCATAATGCAGAGGTGAATGGGCCCTTAACCACTTCCTGTCCGGTCCATGTATATAAACAGCCAGATGGTGGCAGTGCAAGGGCAAATTGCCTTCATAAACGGCGCCCACCGTTTTGGACTGTGTGCTCCCTGGAGACACGCAGCACCATGATCCAGTGCTGTAATCCACCGGACACAGCAGAACACCAGTCGCTCTACAGGACCTCTGGACGAGGTCCTGATCATGTGATCACTGATTGGCCAGTCAGTGATCACATGAATAGTAGTAAGCAAGATGTCACTGCTGCCATCATTGCTTACTACGTGTGAAATCTGAATGATCACAGAGATCAGATGGTACAGGGCTATTCACAACAGCCTTGTACGATGTGACAAACTGTGACCAATCGCAGCTCACAGTAGTTTTCAATGGCTGCAAGAATGCAGCCAGAGAGCAGAAATTGTTGCTTTTACAGCCTATATGTGTGTAAAAAAAAAAAAAAAAATCTCTCCTCCTTTCCCTCCCCCCCCAGTAATAGTGTCATCATGGTGACACTGTACTGCTCAGGTGACAATGTTAAATATAAAAAAAATTTCAATTCTAATTTTTGGTTATAAAACTAATTTGGATTTTTTTTACTAAAACGATAAATCTTGGCCAAAATATATTCAGTTATGAAGAAAGATTTGCAAAAATTTAAGAAAAACACTTTTCTAAATTTGTGGACTTTTACATAGAAAAAAAAAAATCCCAGTGGTGAATAAATATTACCAAAGTTTTCTCAAAAAAAAAAAGCTAAAAAAACTCATATGGGTAGCGTTGCATGACAGCGCATTTATAACTCCACCAAATTACATCACTAATCTTGTCTCTAAATATCACCCAAACCGTACTCTCCGCTCCTTGCAAGACCTCCTACTCTCTAGCTCCCTTGTCTCCTCCCATGCTAGTCTCCAGGACTTCTCCAAAGCTCCCCCCATCCTCTGTCACTCTCTACCCCAATTTATCAGACTATCGCCTCCTCTGCTCACTTTTAGGCGATCTCTGAAAACCGATCTCTTCAGGGAAGCCTATCCTGCACTCAGCTAATAATGGAATCTTCTACTCCTTGTACCAGTCCATCCCCCACAGTTACTACCTTTTGTACCACTAGCCCCTCCCTCTTAGATTGTAAGCTCCTAGGATCAGGGCCCACTAATCCCTGTTGTATTGAATTGTATTGTCTCCCGTTATAATGTAAAGTGCTGAGCAAACTGTTGGCACCATAAATCCTGTATAATAATAAGTCATTCAAAGTGTGACAGCGCTGAAAGCGGCCTGGACAGGAAGGGGGTAAAAGTGTCCGGACTTGAAGTGGTTAAAGTAGACTATGCAGTCAAAAAACTATTTTACATTTAAAAAAAAGGCAAGGGGCTCGATCTAACCTCAAAATGTAAAGAAAAATAAATGGAAAATTAAATGAAAAATAATTAACACAAATACATGCACACCTACCTTCTACCAGACGTCTCCCACAGGAGCCCCTCGTCTTGATGAGAATAAAGTACTCAGAACACAATGATTTCTGTAGATTTTATTAATATATAAAATAATAAATAAATAGCCAAAAGCTAAAGCCGGCAATCATCCCACATTTTAAATACACATCAGGAGACATTAAACAATTGTGGCTAAAAGGTGGTCAGATCTAGAAATCTGCTGCCCCCCTCATTACTATGTATATACTCATCCATCCTTTGCTCCGCCTCCAGCGGATGGTAAAGCACCGAATTACCCAGCAGCTTCACAAGGCGGTTGCAGTCTCGGCGCACCCATAGGCAAGCACCCGGGTGTGGTGCGTCTCCGTTCACCTTGTGTTGGAGACCCACCAATTAAAAAGCCCATAGAAGGTATAAACCGCATCCATCCAGCCGATGCAGGTTCTGAGCAGAGTGCGGCAGTAACAGAAAGCAAATTAAAAAAAATATGCATATGTACAAAAACCAGACACCTTCTGCATTTCCCGGCAGGAACGCACGCTGAGTCTTTCAAGTCAGTCCTCCGGCGCCCCCCGAAGGTCTCCTCCACCTAGTGCACACCACTGCATCACACAGACGGCTGAATTTGCATTAGAGGCTTTCGAGGGGACGCACCCAGCGAGGGTTTACTTTTGGCTACTTTCGATTTGTCCTTCAGGGTGAGAAGATTTTCCTTCCCTTCCGTCGGCTGCGGTTTCTTCAAGTGACAAAGTCTGCACACCGAGTGGTACTTGTCTGCCCCTCCGATCACCTCCACCTGCGGAAACGGCGGGGGTCAAGCGTTAACAGAGGACTGCACGCCATAACAAAATCATTCATAAGTCTGGTCAGTGTCAGATCGGCCCGTTATGATTGGCTCACCCTGCACCTAAGGCCACCTCAGCACATCCAGGATGGTAATGTAGGAGATAAAAATGCCAAATGTATGTATTCGCTTGCCTATCTGCGAAATTTCAAAGGAGGATGCTAGAGCAGGGGGCGGGGGTGGTGGAAAGAGGAGACGATGCTAGGGGGGGGGGGGGGGGGGGGGGGGGGGGGGGGGGGGGGGGGGGGGGGGGGGGGGGGGGGGGGGGGGGGGGGGGGGGGGGGGGGGGGGGGGGGGGGGGGGGTGTTGTGGAAAGCAGAGAGGACGCTAAAGCAGGGGGGGGGGGCGGTTGTGGAAAGAGGACGCTGCTAAAGAGGGGGGGGGGGGGGCGGTTGTGGAAAGAGGAGGACGCTAAAGCGGGGGGGGGGTGGTTGTGGAAAGAGGAGGACGCTAAAGTGGGGGGGGGGGCCGTTGTGGAAAGAGGAGGACGCTAAAGCGGGGGGGGGGGGGGGGGGGCGGTTGTGGAAAGAGGAGGACGCTAAAGCGGGGGGGGGGGGCGGTTGTGGAAAGAGGACGCTAAAGTGGGGGGGGGGGGGGGGCGTTGTGGAAAGAGGAGGATGCTAAAGTGGGGGGGGGCCGTTGTGGAAAGAGGAGGACGCTAAAGCGGGGGGGGGGGGGGCGCGCGGCGGTTGTGGAAAGAGGACGCTAAAGCGGGGGGGGGGGGGGGGGGGGGGGGGGCGCGGCGGTTGTGGAAAGAGGACGCTAAAGCGTTGGTTGGGGGGTTGGCTGCGGCGTGAATGGTTAGGAAAGAGGAACATGCAAAAAGTGGCGGTGGGTGGGGGGGAGGGGGGCGCGGGGGGGGGACGCTTAAGCAGGGGGGGGGGGGGGGGGGGGGCGCGGCGGTTGTGGAAAGAGGAGGACACTAAAAGCGGGGGGGGGGCGGTTTGTGGAAAGAGGAGAGGCTGCTAAAGGGGGGGGGGGGGGGGGGGGGCGGTTGTTGTGAAAAGCGGAGAGGGCGCTCACACACGAGGAGAGCCGTAGACTTTGGCCCGTATGATTTAGGGTTGTATTTTTTTTTTTTTTTTTTTTTTTAATAGGCACAATTTATAAAATAAAAGAAACCGAAAAAAAAAAAAAAAAGGTATTTATTGCAGTAAATTTGGGGGCTCACCTCTTTTTCGGCTCCCAGTCTCTTGGTGTACGAAGCTTCCCGGTAACATTCCATACACACTGCGTTCAGCTTCACAACACTCTCCGCCAGCGGCACCAAACTCAGGATGTCCCCCGAATGGCTGGAAATAACAGGAAGAATACAAGTTACAGTCTGCTGGAAGGGAAATAATCTGACCTCAGATGTTCAGAAGACGGAGCGGCACTGCACTGGGGAGACGTGTGTAGGGGACCATCTACATTGTTCGGTCAGTTCCTCCACAGTCCAAACATTCCTTCTATGGTGGAGCAGCCGGCAGAGATACCTCCAACCTACTAGACACCGACGTGTAGATTGCCACATACTGACATCTACAGTCAGGTCCATAAATATTGGGACATGGACACAATTCTAACATTTTTGGCTCTATACACCACCCACAATGGATTTGAAATGAAACGAACAAGATGTGCTTTAACTGCAGACTGTCAGCTTTAATTTGAGGGTATTTACATCCAAATCAGGTGAACGGTGTAGGAATTACAACAGTTTGCATATGTGCCTCCCACTTGTTAAGGGACCAAAAGTAATGGGACAGAATAATAATCATAAATCAAACTTTCACTTTTTAATACTTGGTTGCAAATCCTTTGCAGTCAATGACAGCCTGAAGTGTGGAACGCATAGACATCACCAGACGCTGGGTTTCATCCCTGGTGATGCTCTGCCAGGCCTTTACTGCAACTGTCTTCAGTTCCTGCTTGTTCTTGGGGCATTTTCCCTTCACTTTTGTCTTCAACAAGTGAAATGCTCAATCGGATTCAGGTCAGGTGATTAACTTGGCCATAGCAGAACATTCCACTTCTTTGGTGACTTTTGCAGTCTGCTTTGGGTCATTGTCCATCTGCACTGTGAAGCGTCCAATGAGTTGTGAAGCATTTGGCTGAATATGAGCAGATAATATTCCCGAAACACTTCACAATTCATCCGGCTGCTTTTGTCAGCAGTCACATCATCAATAAATACAAGAGAAGCAGTTCCATTGGCAGCCATACATGCCCACGCCATGACACTACCACCACCATGATCACTGATGAGGTGGTATGCTTAGGACCATGAGCAGTTCCTTTCCTTCTCCATACTCTTCTCTTCCCATCACTCTGGTACAAGTTGATGTCGGTCTCATCTGTCCATAGGATGTTGTTCCAGAACTGTGAAGGCTTTTTTACATGTCGTTTGGCAAACTCTAATCTGGCCTTCCTGTTTTTGAGGCTCACCAATGGTTTCCATCTTGTGGTGAACCCTCTGTATTCACTCTGGTGAAGTCTTCTCTTGATTGGTGACTTTGACACACATACACCTACCTCCTGGAGAGTGTTCTTGATCTGGCCAACTGTTGTGAAGGGTGTTTTCTTCACCAGGGAAAGAATTCTTTGCTCATCCACCACAGTTGTTTTCCGTGGTCTTCCGGGTCTTTTGGTGTTGCTGAGCTCACCGGTGCGTTCCTTCTTTTTAAGAATGTTCCAAGCAGTTGTTTTGGCTGAGCCTAATGTTTTTGCTATCTCTCTGATGGGTTTTGTTTTTTCAGCCCAATGATGGCTTCACTGATAGTGACAGCTCTTTGGATCTCATCTTGAGAGTTGACAGCAACAGATTCCAAATGCAAATAGCACACTTGAAATGAACTCTGGACCTTTTATCTGCCCATTGTAATTGGGATAATGAGGGAATAACACACCTGGCCATGGAACAGCTGAGAAGCCAATTGTCCCATTACTTTTGGTCCCTTAAGTGGGAGGCACATATGGAAAACTGTCGTAATTCCTACACCGTTCACCTGATTTGGTTGTAAATACCCTCAAATTAAAGCCGACAGTCTGCAGTTAAAGCACATATTGTTAGTTTCACTTCAAATCCATTGTGGTGGTGTATAGAGCCAGAAATGTTGACTGTACATTAACCCCCAATCCAGGGCTTCCAGAACAGCCAGTTTTCCTGTACAAAATGATCCGTCACATGTTCTCTTAAAGTGGAACATCAAATCACTCAATCAGCTCTGACGAGGTCTAATCCCGATGTTGCCAGCATTAGTATATAGATAGGAAAGTAGATCTGATATACTTGGTTTTAAAACTTTTTTTTTTTTCTGCATTTCTTCAGTGACTTCCTGGTTTCTCACCTAGGCAAATGATGACACACATCTCAGGAGATGAACTAAGGGCAGATGGTTTCCAAGAAGTCAGTGCTACAATGAATTATGTGCCCTTAACTCAATGGCCATGGCCAGAAATGCTAGGGGGGTGCGTTTCAAAGGGATTTCTCGCCAAAATAATGCATGGTGACATCGATACATGGATGGATGGGCCGAGGGGGGGCGGGAAATGGAGACTTGGATGGACAGAGGAGTTTGCTTTGATTAAAAATTTATCAAAATAGCATTGTTGCTTTGCGATGCTCAGATGCAGTGTAGTCCCCCTTTAACCAGCACTGATCTGAAGTCTCAATTCACAAAGACGCTCCAAGCCGTGGGATTCTACTGCTGCAAGTAATAGAACATTGGGCCCAGCGCCATCGTCCACACGCACCAATCACATGATTCGCAGTCACTGAATGGGCGACGGTCACTCGAAGGCTACCGCCATATCGTAACAGTCAGCGCTGCAATTCCTGATATACAAAATCTGAAGATCTAGTATGTGGGAACGTACATAGAGACATCTGCCCCTCCTCTCCCCCCAGGTCCCATGTACTGAACGTACATGGTGGTCCCCTACCCACCTTCCTCTGGAACGTCCCATCCAGTGCAGCAACGATGACGGTTTTGCCTCTGTTGGCCATTTCTTCACAGAAGTGAACGACATCCGGGAACTGCAGGGAGAGGAGTCAACGATCAACGTCCGGTATAGGACCCATCATCCCCTCCCCCATAAAGGCCAACCTCACTTCCCAAATAAGAATATTAACCTCTTCCCCAATAATAGGCTCCATCATCCACCTCCCCAATAATAGGCTCCATCATCCACCTCCCCAATAATAGGCTCCATCATCCACCTCCCCAATAAGATTCATCTTCAACCACCCCCAGATCTATAATCCCCCTGCGCCCGCCCCCCCCCCCCCCCCCAATTTTCACAGGCTCTCCTGCCCCGCCCTAATATCCATTCCCCCCCCAATAAGATCCATCACCCCCCATGTTCCCCCCTAATAATATCCATGATCTCCTCCACAGTAATACGATCCATCACCTCCATAAGACCTACTTTTCACAACCGCCCTCAATATCCATCAGCTCCCTCCCCCCATAAGATTTATTGTCCCCTCCCACACAATTTATCCCCCAATATGATCTCTGCTCCCACCACCCCCATAAGGGACTTATTTGCTCCCTCATAATATCGAATGCCCCACCCCCATAAAATCTATTGGCCCTCTCCCTCATAAGATATTCCACACCAACCCTCCATAATAAGATCCATCCTCCCCCGTCCCAATAAGACGATCCCTCTTCCACCCTCCCCCGTCCCAATAAGACGATCCCTCTTCCACCCTCCCCCGTCCCAAGAAGACGATCCCTCTTCCACCCCCTCTCCCGTCCCAAGAAGACGATCCATCTTCCACCCTCCCCCGTCCCAAGAAGACGATCCATCTTCCACCCTCCCCCGTCCCAAGAAGACGATCCATCTTCCACCCTCCCCCGTCCCAAGAAGACGATCCATCTTCCACCCTCCCCCGTCCCAAGAAGACGATCCATCTTCCACCCTCCCCCGTCCCAAGAAGACGATCCATCTTCCACCCTCCCCCGTCCCAAGAAGACGATCCATCTTCCACCCTCCCCCGTCCCAAGAAGACGATCCATCTTCCACCCTCCCCCGTCCCAATAAGACGATCCATCTTCCACCCTCCCCCGTCCCAATAAGACGATCCATCTTCCACCCGCCCCCGTCCCAATAAGACGATCCATCTTCCACCCTCCCCCGTCCCAATAAGACGATCCATCTTCCACCCTCCCCCCGTCCCAATAAGACGATCCATCTTCCACCCTCCCCCGTCCCAATAAGACGATCCATCTTCCACCCTCCCCGTCCCAATAAGACGATCCATCTTCCACCCTCCCCCGTCCCAATAAGACGATCCATCTTCCACCCTCCCCCGTCCCAAGAAGACGATCCATCTTCCACCCTCCCCCGTCCCAAGAAGACGATCCATCTTCCACCCTCCCCCGTCCCAAGAAGACGATCCATCTTCCACCCTCCCCCGTCCCAAGAAGACGATCCATCTTCCACCCTCCCCCGTCCCAAGAAGACGATCCATCTTCCACCCTCCCCCGTCCCAAGAAGACGATCCATCTTCCACCCTCCCCCGTCCCAATAAGACGATCCATCTTCCACCCTCCCCCGTCCCAATAAGACGATCCATCTTCCACCCGCCCCCGTCCCAATAAGACGATCCATCTTCCACCCTCCCCCGTCCCAATAAGACGATCCATCTTCCACCCTCCCCCGTCCCAATAAGACGATCCATCTTCCACCCTCCCCCGTCCCAATAAGACGATCCATCTTCCTTCCTCCCCCGTCCCAATAAGACGATCCATCTTCCTTCCTCCCCCGTCCCAATAAGACGATCCATCTTCCACCCTCCCCCGTCCCAATAAGACGATCCATCTTCCACCCTCCCCCGTCCCAATAAGACGATCCATCTTCCACCCTCCCCCGTCCCAATAAGACGATCCATCTTCCACCCTCCCCCGTCCCAATAAGACGATCCATCTTCCTTCCTCCCCCATCCCAATAAGACGATCCATCTTCCTTCCTCCCCCATCCCAATAAGACGATCCATCTTCCTTCCTCCCCCATCCCAATAAGATCCATCTTCCACCCTCCCCCCGTCCCAATAAGATCTTCCACCCTCCCCCTTGAGACTTACAAACTGGCCCTCATCAATGCCAATGACGCAGTAGTTCATCGCCTCCGTAAACAAATCTGCCAGGTTGCAGGTCGAAACAGCAGACATCGTATGTCTGTGGGGGATGGAGATGGGAAACAAAAAACATTTGTAACACAAAAAACACACAAACACATACTACAAACAAGACACACAAGTTGAATGTTGTACAGCGAAGCGCGTTTAAAAGAGGAACTCAACCCTGGAAACTGCGCAAAAAAAAAAAAAAAAAAAAAGTCAGGCAGAGGGTTACCAGCATGGTCTGTGGTCCCCCTGCAGCTGATCTCCCCACATCTGGTCCTGCACGGTGTCTGTGTGGAGGTGGCCATTTTGGTAGGAGCAGGGCTTTGCTTCCTCAATCAGAGCCTCCGGCAAGGAGAACAGTCAGCAGCACAATAATGACATCACCACATCTCACGAGACTAAAACAGAGGCAGCTCTGCCTTAGACTTCACACTGCAGATACACAGCTATGAGGATACAGAACAGGAGTGCCTAGGGCTTTCCTGAAGTAACCCCACCATGTGCAAACAACGTTCCTGATGGAAGCCCACTGCATCTAAAGGATGTTCCCAAAGGAACCCCACCGTATCCAAACTATGTTCCCGCATGAACGGAACACCGCCGCGTCCCAAAGGACGTCCCCCGAACGGAACACCGCCGCGTCCCAAAGGACGTCCCCCGAACGGAACACCGCCGCGTCCCAAAGGACGTCCCCCGAACGGAACACCGCCGCGTCCCAAAGGACGTCCCCCGAACGGAACACCGCCGCGTCCCAAAGGACGTCCCTCCGAACGGAACACCGCCGCGTCCCAAAGGACGTCCCCCGAACGGAACACCGCCGCGTCCCAAAGGACGTCCCCCGAACGGAACACCGCCGCGTCCCAAAGGACGTCCCCCGAACGGAACACCGCCGCGTCCCAAAGGACGTCCCCCGAACGGAACACCGCCGCGTCCCAAAGGACGTCCCCCGAACGGAACACCGCCGCGTCCCAAAGGACGTCCCCCGAACGGAACACCGCCGCGTCCCAAAGGACGTCCCCCGAACGGAAACACCGCCGCGTCCCAAAGGACGTCAACCGAACAAACACCGCCGCTTCTCAAAGGACGTCAACCGAACAAACACCGCCGCGTCCCAACGGACGCCCCCCCGAACAAACACCGCCGCGTCCCAAAGGACGTCCCCCAAACATACACCGCCGCGTCCCAAAGGACGTCCCCCAAACATACACCGCCGCGTCCCAAAGGACGTCCCCCCAAACATACACCGCCGCGTCCCAAAGGACGTCCCCCAAACATACACCGCCGCGTCCCAAAGGACGTCAACCGAACAAAAACACCGCCGCTTCTCAAAGGACGTCAACCGAACAAACACCGCCGCGTCCCAACGGACGCCCCCCCGAACAAACACCGCTGCGTCCCAACGGACGTCCCCCGAAGGAACCCCAGTCTTCAATGTTCAGTTTAGCACGTGTTGACCAACATTTTGATGCTTTGCTGAAAATTTGTGAGCCCACCCCCTTCGAGGGACATTCAACGCATTAGATGCGCTCCATACCGGTCATGTGTGGCCAGCTGTTCTTCGCTGTAGCGAATGTCCTTGGCGTACTTTATCACCAAACACTTGTACTGCGCTATCTGGAAGCGACGCACTCTGCGCATCAACTCCGTGCTGAAATGAAAGGAGACCACCATAAGACCCTCTACAGATGACATCGGTGGAGTCAGACAGGAATACGCTGGAGGACTCACCTTTTCCCAGAGAACATTGGCCCAAAGATCACCTGAAAGACAGAAAGTAGATTTATTCCTTCAGACCAAGGGGCATCATGGGAAAACAGACCCCCCCAAACTCCACTTTCACAGCCAGAAGAAGCCCCTCTTCACTGCTCCAGTCTCTTCCCATTAGCTACTGCCTTTTCCATCTTCTGTGAACTACAAATCCCCTCCCCCTATGTTCTGTGAACTAGATACAAATCCCACCCCCCCACACACAAAAAAAAAAAAAAAAATCTGCCCCCTATTAATGGTATAGCGGCCCTCCACCTTTATAAATAATTTATCATCTCCCACCCAGTAATCTATCTGCACCCCCGTCTATCGGCCCCATAAAACTACCTGTCTCCTTCATAATTTGTCACCCCCCCAAAACACAATCTGCTCTCCTCCCCTCGGTAAAAATGATCACCCCATAAAAATGTATCTGCCCCCCCACTAATAATTTATCTGCCACTTTATGAGTTATTATAACCACAATTTATCTCCTCTCTGCCCCCCCCCCCCCCCCATTATGCTAATCACCCCCTTAAAAATTATCTGCCCCCTGATGATTTATCTCCAATGATCACCCCCATAATATGCATTTGCCTCCCAACAATGATTAATTACCCCCCAAAATAATCTGCCACTCTCTCTAATGATCACCCCCACCACTATAATGACCCAACAACACCCCCCAATAGTTAATCTGCCCCTTTCTCTCTGATAACCCCCCCTCTATAATAATGACCTATCACCCCCATAAAAATACATCTGCCCCAAATAATGACTACCCCCCAAATCTGCCCCCTTATGATTTATCTGCCCCTCTCTGATAACCCCCCTTCTATAATGACCTATTGCCCCCATACAAATACATCTGCCCCTTATGATTACCCCCCCTATAATGACCTATTGCCCCCATAAAAATACATCTGCACCTAATGATTACCCCCCCAAATCTACCTCTATAAAATGCCCCCCAATAGTTTGCCCTTCTCCCCCATAAAAATACATCTTCCCCCTTATGATTTATCTGCCCCTCTTGTTAGTGATCACCCCCCCCTCTATAACGACCTATCACCCCCATAAAAATACATCTGACCCCATTAATGATCACCCTCCCCAAATAATCTGCCCCTATGAAATGCCCGCCCCCAATAGTTTGTTTGCTCTTCTCCCCCTCTGACGTATTTTCATGGGAGAGATGTCATTATAGAGGGGGGGGGGGGGGGGGGGGTGATCACTAACAAGAGGGGCAGATAAATCAAAAGGGGGAAGATGTATTTTTATGGGGGAGAAGGGCAGACAAACTATTGGGGGGGCATTCTATAGAGGTAGATTTGGGGGTAATCATTAGGTGCAGACGTATTTTTATGGGGGCAATAGGTCATTATTGGGGGGAGGTAATCATAAAAGGCAGATGTATTTTTATGGGGGCAATAGGTCATTTAGGGGGGGGGGGGGGGTTAATCATCATAAGGGGCAGATGTATTTTTAGGGGGAAATAGGTGATTATAGGGGGGTAATCATAAGAGGCAGATGTATTTTTAGGGGGGCAATAGGTCATTATAGGGGGGGTAATCATCATACGGGCAGATGTACTTATGGGGGCAATATATCTGCCCCTAATAATGATTAATCACCCCCCCCCCTCTAATGACCTATCACCTCCATAAAGATACATCTACCCCCCCCCCAAATAATCTGCCCCTCATCCCTATATAAATGCCCCCCAAGTAGTTTGCCCTTCTCCCCCTCTGTAATAATCTATCACCCCAATAAATTATATCTGCCCCCCATAATAATTTATCAGGGGGGGGGTACAATGAGAGGCCCCCACTGTACGATGCGGTCGGCACTGACCTGGATCTGCCCCCTGATCTTGCTGGGTGATCCGGGCATGATATCGGCCACGTTCAGGCAGTTCATGGTGTCGCCGGTCGGGTCGTTCAGAGCGGGAATGATCGGAGCGGCGGGAGATCTCCGCACAAATCCTCCGCTTCAAACAGCTGCGCGGGTTCCGGCACAAAGCCCGACCAATCAGAGACGGAGGGACGGGCCGATCTACCAATTAGCGACGCAGAGGGAGTTGAATCCCACCCTCCCCCGGAGGTGGGGGCGTGCCCGGGAGTGATTGACAGGCGTCTGACAGATGCAGATTTGGCGCCAGAATAAGCGGATTTTAAATATTCCGGATTGTATAGGAAGCGGCAAAATGGGAAATAGATACAATGTGTGTGTTCTATCGCCGATCACATCGGCACGTGAGTGACGCCGGGCTGGTTTGTGATTGGGGAAAGAATTGCAGGAAGCTGAGACCTGAAAGGAGATTGTACAATCACATTGTGTGGTGTGTGGCCGATATAGGCCAGGATCACATTAGGGGTGCCACCCCTTCCTCCAAACCCGAATACAAAATAATGACACCGAATCTGAGGACAATTTATTACAGATGAGGCACTAAGTGGGGTTAATTACCACCTTCATCAGCCCCAGAACCCATGGAATAATGTGTGTTCGGGTGTAAAGGGAAGAGGAGGCAACCCTAGACACGGCACATACACGATATTGTCCAATGAATTGGCCCTGCCCTCCAGATCATGTGATTCAGGTGTTCCAATCCCCTCCATATCATGTGATTCAGGTGTTCCAATCCCCTCCATATCATGTGATTCAGGTGTTCCAATCCCCTCCATATCGTGTGATTCAGGTGTTCCAATCCCCTCCCAATCATGTGATTCAGGTGCTCCAATCCCCTCCATGGACACAGGTGTATACAATCAAGCCCCTAGGCATGCAGACGGCTTCTACAAACATTGGTGAAAGAATGGGTCGCTCTCAGGAGCTCAGTGACTCCAAGCGTGGTCCCGTGATAGGTGGCCACCTGGGCAATAAGTCCATCCGTGACATTTCCTGGCTACTAAATATTCCACGCTCAACTGTTAGTGGGATTATAACAAAGTGGAAGCAACTGGGAACAACAGCCACTCAGCCACCAAGTGGTAAGCCACGTCACATGACAGGGCGGGGTCAGCGCATGCTGAAGCGCGCAGTGCGCAGAAGTCACCAACTGTCTGCAGAGTCAATAGCTAAAGACCTCCAAACTTGGTGTGGCCTTCAGATGAGCCCAACAAGAGTGTGTAGAGAGCTTCATGGAATGGGTTTCCATGGCCGAGCAGCTGCATCCAAGCCTTCCATCACCAAGTGCAATGCAAAGCATCAGATGCCGTGGTGTAAAGCACGCCACCACTGGACTCTAGAGCAATGGAGACGTGTTCTCTGGAGTGACCAATCACGCTTCTCTGTCTGGCAATCCAATGGACGTGTCTGGGTTTGGTGGTGGCCAGGAGAACGGTACTTGTCTGACTGCATTGTGCCAAGTGTAAAGTTTGGTGGAGGGGGATTATGGTGTGGGGGTGTTTTTTCTGACCCCACCACATGGTAAACCATGGAAGACCCGACCCCACCACATGTAAACCATGGAAGACCCGACCCCACCACATGGTAAATCATGGCAAACCCGATCTGACTACCTGGTAGACCCAACCTTACCACGTGGTACACCCGACACCACCTCATGGTAAACCATGGTAGACCTGATTCCACCACATGGTAAACCATGGTAGACATGACTCCACCACATGGTAGACCATGGTAGACATGACTCCACCACATGGTAAACCATGGTAGACCTGACTCCACCACATGGTAAACCATGGTAGACTTGACTTCACCACATGGTAAACCATGGTAGACCTGACTCCACCACATGGTAGACCATGGTAGACCTGACTCCACCACATGGAAGACCATGGTAGACCTGACTCCACCACATGGTAAATCATGGTAGAGACCCCACCACATGGTAGACTATAGTAGACCCAATCCCACCACATGGTAAACCATCGTAGACTTGACCCCACCACATGGTAGACCTGGGTCACTAAGCTTTGTACACTTTGTCATCACTCTTTGGGAGCGGCCTGAAAAGATAGAACTCCGAGGTGCCAACCCAACGGGAATTTCTAAACTTTACCATAATGAAATTTTATTTTGATTACATCCTATCATATCAAAGAAACTCTTCATAAATCTCTCATTTATTATTTGCCTCTTCTCGTGGTAATGTTTTTTTTTTTGGTTATGCTTACCAGTCAATATCTCTGGATTTGGTGAACTTTTTCCATGGTAGACCAATGGGCACGTGAGCATCAGAAGTGGACTCCGGAGCAGTGGAAGAAGGTCGCCTTGATAGACCACAGTAGACCCAACACCACCACATGGTAGACCCGACCCCACCACATGGTAGACCATGCTAGACCCGACCCCACCACATGGTAGACCATACTAGAACCGACACCACCACATGATAAACCATGGTAGACCCGACCACACTACATGATAAACCAGGGTAGACCCGACCAAACCACATGATAAACCATGGTAGACCCGACCCCACCACATGATAAAACATGGTAGACCCGACCCCAGTACATGGTAGACCTGACCCCACCACATGATATACCATGGTAGACCCAACCTAACCATATGGTAGACCTGACCCCAACACATGATAAACCAAGGTAGACCTGACCCCACTACATGGTAGACCCAACCCCACTACATGGTAGACCCAACCCCACCAAATGGTAGACCCAAAGCCAACACATGGTAAACCATGGTAGACCTGACCCCACCACATGATAAACCATGGTAGACCTGACCCCACCACATGATAAACCATAGTAGACCCGACCCCACCACATGGTAGACCCGACTCCACTACATGGTAGACCCGACTCCACTACATGGTAGACCCGACTCCACTACATGGTAGACCCGACCCCACCATATAGTAAACCAGACCCCACCACATGGTAGACCTTACCCCACCACATGGTAGACCTTACCCCACTACATGGTAGACCTTACCCCACCACATGGTAGACCTTACCCCACCACATGTGGTGGGGTCGGGTTGCTAAGCTTTGTACAGCTTGTCATCTCTCTTTGGGATTGGCCTGAAGATAGAACTCCGAGGTGCCAACACAACGTGAATTTCTAAACTTCACCATAATGAAAGAATTCCCAAATTTTATTCGGATTACATCCTATCATACACAAATTATCAAATAAACTCTTCATAAATCTCTTTTACTACTCAGTATAAAGTCAGCTTTGTAGTTCCATGGAGATACGTCCACCGATCAGTCATGACTATACAACCATCGACAGGTAAAGTAAATAACATCGATCAGAAAATGACATCTGAAAGTGGGCGGGGGATATATTAGGCACCAAGTGAACATGTCCCTGAATGTGTAACATAAATATATAATAAATCAGTTCCCGATGTTGGGAAACGTGGTTTAAGAACAAAAAAAAACCCACCGGTGGTCATTTCATCATTTGGGTAGCGCCGATTTTATTTTGGCTTTAGCGTTGTGAATGCGCATTATTATTATTAGCTATTGATTGACATATATATATGGGGAGGATTACTGCTGTATTTCCTGTAGAGATCCCCTCGCTGATGTACAATATATGGAGCATATCTCTGTACCAACGATGGTCTGACGTGGGAACTTGGCTGGTAGACATTGGTGTCCCTTGGGTAGGTGTACTATATGTGGATATGATTTATTATATATTTATGTTGTACATCGATTATATAGTATATGTGTGTCCGTCCCCCCCCCCCCGTGGAGATCACACCCACTGTATATCGTCTTTTCTTAGTGCAGGATGAGGAATATTTCACATGTTGTCTCTTCTATCATGGAGTTCTCCAGGTTGAGATCTTCATCTTCTGGATCCTGGGTTGCGATTTTGTTTTCATAAATATCCTGAAAAGTGTAAAAACAAAATCCGATTCATATTAAACAGAAGATTCTGCCGTAGAATAAAGCTCATCAGAGCGGCGGATTATGACATCTCCTGACTGCGGATACAGGAAAGGGACCTTCAGAGGAAGAAGAGGAAATGAACTGAAGCTGTGTACAAAAACAAGGAGAAGGTCATGGGTATTGTCTGTGCTCTCCCTGCAGCACAGGGCAAAGGACTAGTCACCAGTATTGTCTGTGCTCTCCCTGCAGCACAGGGCAAAGGACTAGTCACCAGTATTGTCTGTGGTCTCCCTGCAGCAAAGGGCATAGGACCAGTCACCAGTATTGTCTGTGGTCTCCCTGCAGCACAGGGCAAAGGACTAGTCACCAGTATTGTCTGTGGTCTCCCTGCAGCACAGGGCAAAGGACTAGTCACCAGTATTGTCTGTGGTCTCCCTGCAGCAAAGGGCATAGGACCAGTCACCAGTATTGTCTGTGGTCTCCCTGCAGCAAAGGGCATAGGACCAGTCACCAGTATTGTCTGTGGTCTCCCTGCAGCACAGGGCAAAGGACTAGTCACCAGTATTGTCTGTGGTTTCCCTGCAGCAGAGGGCACAGGACTAGTCACCAGTATTGTCCGTGGTCTCCCTGCAGCACAGGGCAAAGGACTAGTCACCAGTATTGTCTGTGGTTTCCCTGCAGCAGAGGGCACAGGACTAGTCACCAGTAATGTCTGTGGTCTCCTTGCAGCACAGGGCATAGGACCAGTCACCAGTATTGTCTGTGGTCTCCCTGCAGCACAGGGCGAAGGACTAGTCACCAGTATTGTCTGTGATCTCCCTGCAGCAGAGGGCATAGGATTAGTGACAGTATTATCTGTTGTCTCCTTGCAGCACAGGGCAAAGGACTAGTCACTGTATTGTCTGTGCTCTCCTTGCAGCAAAGGGCACAGGACTAGTCACCAGTATTGTCTGTGGTCTCCCTCCAGAAAAGAGCAAAGGACTAGTCACTGTATTGTCTGTGGTCTCCCTGCAGCAAAGGGCACAGGACTAGTCACCAGTATTGTCTGTGGTCTCCCTCCAGAAAAGAGCAAAGGACTAGTCACCAGTATTGCCTGTGTTCTCCCTGCAGCACAGGGCAAAGGACTAGTCACCAGTATTGGCTGTTGTCTTCCTGCACAGGACTAGTCACCAGTATTGTCTGTGGTCTCCCTGCAGAAGAGGGAATAGGACCACTCACCAGTATTGTCTGTGGTCTCCCTGCAGCAGAGGGCATAGGACCAGTCACCAGTATTGTCTGTGTTCTCCCTGCAGCAGATGGCATAGGACCAGTCACCAGTATTGTCTGTGTTCTCCCTGCAGCAGAGGGCATAGGACCAGTCACCAGTATTGTCTGTGGTCTCCCTGCAGAAGAGGGAATAGGACCACTCACCAGTATTGTCTGTGGTCTCCCTGCAGCAGAGGGCATAGGACCAGTCACCAGTATTGTCTGTGTTCTCCCTGCAGCAGATGGCATAGGACCAGTCACCAGTATTGTCTGTGTTCTCCCTGCAGCAGAGGGCATAGGACCAGTCACCAGTATTGTCTGTGGTCTCCCTGCAGCAGAGGGCATAGGACCAGTCACCAGTATTGTCTGTGGTTTCCCTGCAGCAGAGGGCACAGGACTAGTCAGCAGTATTGTTTGTGGTTTCCCTGCAGCAGAGGGCACAGGACTAGTCAGCAGTATTGTTTGTGGTTTCCCTGCAGCAGAGGGCATAGGACCAGTCACCAGTATTGCCTCTGATCTCAGTGCAGCTTTTCCGTATTGCTGCCCTTCCATGCCTTGTTCTACAATACTGTATATTCATACTTCCATAGTTAGGCTGGAAAAGGCACAACTCCCTCCAGTCCAGTCTATGAATTTCCATGTTGTGCTCCTCAGGGAGGAAGTTTTTGGATTTCTCAATAGCTGATACCAGTACTTGGGAAGAGGAGCTCCACTTTTTTGCTGCTGTGACTGTAAAGAACCCTCTCCATAATTTCAGTTTGAACCTCCAATCCTAAACAGAGGCAATGTGTCCTGGTCATGGAGCTGGGATTAAACACGTTGTTACCACCTTTAGGGCTCCTTTACACTTGCCTCGTCCTCTGAAGAGCAATCCGAGGGTGCTGGAGAGGCGTCTGGGAGGCAATACTTTGCTTTTTAAAGACATTCCACACCAGTGGACACGTGCTCTCCTGCAGGCTGTAAAATGCTTTACATGACTGGCTTGTTCTGTACTGGGTCACTGTAGGGAGGCGGTCATCTTGGTAGGAGCAGGGCTTTGCTTCCTCATATCAGAGCCTCTGGCAAGGAGAACAGTGAGCAGCACAATGATATCACCACATCTCACTCCAAATCCCACGAGACTAACAGTCAGAGGCAGCTCTGCCTTATAGACCTCACACTGCAGATAGACATGAGGATACAGAACAGGAGTGCCTAGGCACAGGAAGTGCACTGATGTCAGGAATGCCTAGGCACAGGAAGTGCACTGATGTCAGGAGTGCTTATAAGAGGTGCACTGATGTCAGGAGTGCCTAGGCACAGGAAGTACACTGATATCAGGAGTGCCTAGGCACAGGAAGTTCACTGATATCAGGAGTTCCTAGGCACAGAAACTACACTGATATCAGGAGTGTCTAGGCACAGGAAGTACACTGATGTCAGCAGTGTCTATGCACAGGAAGTGCACTGATATCAGGACAAGAAATGCTCTGATATCAGGAGTGCCCACAGGAAGTACACTAATATCAGGAGTGCCTAGGCACAGGAAGTACACTGATATCAGGATTGCCTACAAGAAGTGCACTGATATTAGGAGTTCCTAGGAACAGGAAGTAAACCGATATCTGGAGTGCCTAGGCACAGGAAGTACACTGATATCAGGAGTGTCTAGGCACAGGAAGTGCACTGACATCAGGAGTGCCTAGGCACAGGAAGTGTACTGATATCAGGAGTGCCTAGGCACAGGAAGTACACTGATATCAGGAGTGCCTACAGGAAGTGCATTGATATCAGGAGTGCGTAGGCACAGGAAGTACACTGATATCAGTAGTGCTTAGGCACTGGAATTGCACTGCTATCAGGTGTTCCTAGGCACAGGAAGTACATTGATATCAGGAACTTCTCTTATATCAGGAGTGCTTAGACGCAGGAAGTGCACTGATATCAGGAGTGCCTAGGCACAGGACGTTCTCTGATATCAGGAGTGCCTAGGCACAGGAAGTTATCTGATATCAGGAGTGCCTTGGCGCAGGAAGTGCACTGATATCAGGAGTGCCTAGGCACAGGAAGTACACTGATATCAGGAGTGCCTAGGCACACTGACATACCAGGAAGCGCCCTGGAATTTTGCAGGAGGAATTCAAGATAAAAGGTAGATTGTTCAGGACCATTATTGGGCACCATAAACATTTCTTCGCGTTTCTTACATCACAGCAAAGGTTCACTTTTTGAGTTCAGGTCCACTTTAAGCGGCCATTGCTGGCCTCCTTTTGCACAATTGCCGGCTTCCTGGCTGCCTTTGACCTCAGTATTTTCTGGCTACAACTTACAAATGATTGAACCCAGCAGGTCAATGTGACAGCCAGGCAACTTGCATTTTCAGAAGCAGAGGTCCTCCATACATGACTACATACATGGAATGTCAGAGGGATGGTTGATGATTTGTGTCGGACACTTACACACACAGGAGGACAGAACGCTCGATCCCACCTTACGTCCTCGGCGGTTACCTGGGAAGAGAAGAAGGAAAACCACCTTTCAGCTGATGTGGGACCTCAAGTTTCAGTCTTACTAAAATTGATAGAAAGCAGATAATAGCTACACGTTATCTTGTCATTTAATGACATTAAACAGATGGGCAAAAAAGATGTCCTGAGTCTTCTGGGTTGAATGGAGCTCAGTGTGCCTCATTGTGGAAGACTGAGGACCTTACAGTGAGTGCGGTGCACCATGGGCCCATCCCCCAGCATTCACTGGTGATCGATGGAGAGAATGGCACTGACATCATCTTCGTGGACCGCTCATCGCTGGAGAAGATCAGAAGAGGATGGACCCTCTCCATCCTTTTATACGGACCTCTGGTCCTGCATTGTTGGACATTGGAGAGGCTGCAACTGATCAAGAAGCAAAGAGGAGGGACTCTGTGGAACTGGGGTGGGGTGGTATTTGGGGGGTTCGCTCAAGTGTAGTGCCCCTTGATTATGAAGGCTGTGCACACCTGCACACACAGCCTGCTGTTCTCCTGTAGGACCTGGGCATAGGGTTAGACCCTTCAATGCTCTCAAGACTCTTCAAAGCCTCCGGACTCCAGAACCCAATACAAGAGTTATCATTCCTAGACAAACACTTGAACCTGCTTCAGTGAGAACCCTGTGTAAGATACACCTCCTCTAACACAGTGGCAGGGCCACCACTGTCACATGGGGTGTGGGCAGCCTGCATAAACAAAGAATATGTTTCGGCTTGCCCTGACAGCACCGCTGCTCTGGCCTCACACTTCAGACCTCTCTCTGGTCCTCCAGACCACCCATCTCATCAAACTTTAGACTCTGCGTCTGTCTCTCTCTCACAGCTCCCTTCTACTCTGGCTCACGTCCTGACCTCTGGGCAGGGGACCTCCTGTTTCCCAGGTGGAGCCCTGCAATACAGATAGCCCCTTGATTATAAAGGCTGCACACACAGCGTGCTGGTCTCCTGTAGGACCTGGACATTGGGTTAAAGGCTTCATCCCTCCCAAGACTCTTCAAAGGCCCTGACCTCCAGAACCCAATGCAAGCACTACCAATCCTGGAGAACACTTAAACCTACATCCGTGAAAACCCTGTGTGAGATGTACCTTCTCTAACACAGAGCCAGCGTTGTCATAGGGGTTGTGGGCAGCCTGGAATATCTCTCGACTTGGTCTGGCAGTGCCACTGCTCTGGCCTCACACTTCAGACCTCTCTCTGGTCCTCCAGACCACCCATCTCATCAAACTTTAGACTCTGCATCTGTCTCTCTCTCACAGCTCCCTTCTACTCTGGCTCACGTCCTGACCTCTGGGCAGGGGACCTCCTGTTTCCCAGGTGGAGCCCTGCAATACAGATAGCCCCTTGATTATAAAGGCTGCACACACAGTGTGCTGGTCTCCTGTAGGACCTGGACATAGAGTTAAAGGCTTCATCCCTCCCAAGACTCTTCGAAGGCCCTTACCTCCAGAACCCAATGCAAGCGCTACCAATCCTGTAGAACACTTGAACCTACATCCGTGAAAACCCTGTGTGAGATGTACCTTCTCTAACACAGAGCCAGCGTTTGTCATAGGGGTTGTGGGCAGCCTGGAATATCTCTCGGCTTGCTCTGGCAGTGCCACTGCTCTGGCCTCACACTTCAGACCTCTGTCTGGTCCTCCAGACCATCTCACCAAATGTTACACTCTGTGTCTGTCTCTCTCTCACAGCTCTCTGCTGCGCTGGCCTCACACTTCAGACCTCTGCCTGGTCCTCCAGACCATGTCACCAAACGTTACACTCTGTGTCTGTCTCTCTCTCTCTCTCTCTCTCTCTCAGCCCTCTCACAGCTCTCTGCTGCTCTGGCCCACACTCTGACCTCTGGGCAGGAGACCCCCTGCATGCCAAGTGCAGCCCTGAACTACAGACAGCCCCTTGATTATAAAGGCTGTGGACACCTGCTCACACAGCCTGCTGATCTTCTGTAGGACCTGGACATAGGGTTAGAGGCTTCATCCCTCCCAATACTCTTTGAAGCCTCCGGACTCCAGAACCCAATCCAGGCGTTCCCAATCTCAGAGGAAACTGAAAAAAACAATTTTCTCAGCTCAGAACCAACATTCTGGAGCCCCTAAACCTTCATCCATGAGAACCCTGTGTATGGTGTACCTCTTCTAACACAGTGGCGGGGCCCAGCACTGTCATAGGGGGTGTGGGCAGCCTGCAAACCAAGAAATATAATTATATTTGATAGGGAAGGACTAAACAAGCAATTACCGTTGATGTGGGGGGGGGGGGGGGGAGAGTTCCATTTTAAGTCATCTGAACTTACGGTTATTGTTGTAAAACGCTGTGAAGAGTAGTGAAAGGTTTTTAATTTTCCTCCCCAAGAAGCTTCTATGGGGACTTTACTCACAAAGAGTTCAATTTAAGAAGGTAGAGATGCCCCATTGGCAGGAGGTGCGTCTCCCCCCCCCCCCCCAGTCCTGGCTCAAGCCCGTCATTGCTCTTCTAGGTCCCAGTTTTATGTTTTCGGATTCTTTTTGTACTTACAGAAATGTGTTAAGAAGACGAGTAGAAGCAGAATGAGGATAATGGGGCCACAGACGCTGATGATGATGGCATTCAGGTCCTGCACTGGTTGGGACACAGACGTCAGGATGTGCGTTAATGAAATCAGAAATTTGGGTGCGGCGTCCCGTTCTTCCTTATCAATCTTTTCTCTTTCCCAAGCTTTGTCCTCACTGTCTGGGGATTCTCCTGTATGTGGAATGAGACAACCGACTCCATATGTACACACCATATACACCAATCAATTATATATTTAGCTAGATCACTATATATTATCTGCAGAGAAAACCTTAGCGTTGCAAAGAAACAGGTCCACTTAATGGCCAACTCCAGCCAATACATATCACCCCCCCCCCTCCCCTCCCAATAAACGTCTGTCCCTTAAACCCTTAAACCTGTGTAAGCTGCAATCAGATTGATTTGGTGCCTATATAGATCCTCTTTATCTCATCATTCCAGGGGGGTGAACAGATTGGGATAGGGAGTTCAAGAGGATGGGAGAAGCTCTGGTGAAGTCTTGACAGCGAGAGGAGGGGGATGGTTTGGGTGATATTTTGAGTTGAGGTTGGTGATGGGGATAGAGTGGGGTAGAGTTGTGAATGGCCTTATATGGTGTTGTTAGTATCTTGAATTTTATTAGTTGAGCGAACTCAAGTCCGTGGAGGGATTGGCAGAATCCCTTCCCTGGCCTTCGCTCACTGTCCTCCACCTTTCTCTGCCAATTCCTCCCACTGGCCCCTGCAGAGTGGATGATACTCTGCAGGGGCCAGTGGGAGGAATTGGCAGAGAAAGGTGGAGGACAGTGATTGAAGGCCAGGAAAGGGATTGGCAAAAAGGGGTGGAGAACACTCTGCAGGGGTAAGTGAAGGGGTTGGCAGAGAGGGGTGGAGGACACTCTGCAGGGGTAAGTAAAGGGATTGGCAAAAAGGGATTGAGGATACTCTGCAGGGGTAAGTGAAAGGATTGGCAAAAAGGGATAGAGGACACTCTACAAGGGCCAGTGGAGGGATTGACAAAGAGGAGTAGAGTACACTAAGCGGAAGCCAGTGGAGGGATTGGCAGAGAGATCGGTGGAGGACACTGAGCGGAGGCCAGTGTAAGGTTTGGCAGAGAAGGTGGAGGAGACTGAGCGGAGGTAAGTGAAGGGATTGGCAGAGAGGAGTGGAGGACACTGAGCAGAGGCCAGTGAAAGGATTGGCAGAGAGGGGTTGAGGACACTGAATGGAGGCCAGTGGAAAGTGTGGCAGAGAACGGTGAAGGAAACTCTGCAGGGGCCAGTGAAGGGATCAGAAGAGTAGAGTGGAGGACACTGAGTGGTTTGTAATGTGGATTAAACTAGATGAAGCATTCATAATAGACTGAAGAGCGGGCAGCCTGTGTAGAGGAAGGCCAAGGAGTAGGAGGGTGCAATAGTTGACAGAGGGGAGTTTTTGTTGTAGAGGTCGTCTATTACAGAAGAAGATAAGGCTTGGAGTGGTGAAGTTTCCTCTAGGTAAGGGTTTACTGGTTGGAAGGATGAGGGGTTGAAGACAGGTAGACCATGAAACTGATCAGATTTTTAATCCTTGCCTCCAATTTATACACCTCATTGTCCAAGCTGTATCCTTGTTTCGGCAAGTCTGAAAAAAGGTCTGTTCTCCTCACCTAAAATTATCAGAGCTTGACTCATCTCCTCCTCTCCAGATGGAGTCCTTGCTTTGCAATAGATCTTGCTTGGTCCCGGAGTATAATCAAACTGGAACGTGGCCGCTTCCTTGCCGTGGACCGTCATATTTTTCACGATTCTGTCCCCCTGGATGAGCTCATAGTGGATGACCTGAGGTCCACGTTCGGAGATGCAGGTGATGTTGAAGCTATGTCCTATTGCGATGATGCTGATATTGGGCATGGATAGAGAGTCTGCAAACAGAACAGTGAAATGGCTAGAACTATCTTCCAGGGTTGCCGGTCTTCATCTGAGGTCCCACCAGGGGCGGACTGACCATTCGAGCACTCGGACACTGCCCGAGGGCCCGGGGTCAGTAGGGGGCCCCATGAAATGCCTTTTTTATAGACTTTTTTTGGTTGTGCTTTGAGTGTGGGCAAGGACACAGGGGCCTCATGATCCCCTATTGCCCGGGGGGCCCCATGAGTTGACAGTCCACCCCTCGGTCCCACCCACCTTCTTCTGTCGAGGTTCCTGCTGTCACCGCAACTGCAAGAACTTGTGAGAACGTAGAAGCTGGTGACACAAGAAGCTCAGCTGAAAAAGCAACCCCCTGCTGGATCAAACCTTGTCTCCTCCACAGGGAAGTTGCTCTCCAAGGGTTCTCCATGCTGAACTCTAGACATATAGAACAACAAAAATCAAGGCAGTTGTGTTTTTTTTTTTGTACAGTAACTAGATTCAGAGCTCATAATAAATGAGTCCAGACACTCCACCTCAACAGATCGGGACATCTTATGTAAGGGGGTGCTCTGATGGGGACATCTCTTGTAAATTGGATGATGGAGATTACACCCCCAGATCAGATAGGCTAGATCCAGCCCTGGGCTTTATGTCTACACAAAGGGCGATTTTATGGGAATATTGTTGCTGTGACGAATGGTCTGGTGACAGGTTCTCTTTGAGTTTTAGGTGGAGATCACTTACTTGTTATGTGTTGAGGCTGTATCTTTTCGGGGATGGACCGGAGCTGCTTCTTGGTGACAACTGACTGTATTCCAGTGGAGTGATGTTCACTGCCGATCGTTGAATGGTGCACTGAAAAGCAAAGTCTATGACTGGTATACATAGAAATGTTCGGTGCTACAGTATGGATCAGGGGCGGACTGACAACTCATGGGGCCCCCGAGCAATAGGGGATCATGGGTCCCCTGTGTGCTCACCCACACCCAAAAAAGCCTATGAAAAAGCCAATTAAAGGTACCAGGGGCATCTCATGGGGCCCCCTACTGACCCCGGGCCCTCGGGCAGTGCCCGAGTGCTCCAATGCTCAGTCCACCCCTGGTATGGATACTGACAATACATTGATGTCAACCCGGCACAGCAACACTCAGTCAGAGTGGATTGGAGGAGCGAGGAAACGTCTTCACATTACGGGACAAGTCCAGCTGAATGTAGACATGTGCAGAACAAAACAAATTCATTTATTTTGTTTATTGGTCTTTGAATTCAATTCTAATCGAGGCACTCTGATGGGGACACTGATGTAAGGGGGCACTCTAATGGGGACATCTGATGTAAGGGGGCACTCTGATGGGGACATCTGATGTAAGGAGGCACTCTGATGGGGACATCTGATATAAGGGCGCTCTGATGGGGACACCTGATGTAAGGAGGCACTCTGATGGAGACACTTGATGTAAGGGGGCACTCTGATGGAGACACCTGATGTAAGGAGGCACTCTGATGGGGACATCTGATGTAAGGGGGCACTCTGATGGGGACACCTGATGTAAGGAGGCACTCTGATGGGGACATCTGATGTAAGGAGGCACTCTGATGGGGACATCTGATGTAAGGAGGCACTCAGATGGGGACACTGATGTAAGGGGGCACTCTGATGGGGACACCTGATGTAAGGGGGCACTCTGATGGAGACACCTGATGTAAGGGGGCACTTGGATGAGGACACCTGATGTAAGGAGGCACTCTGATGGGGACATCTGATATAAGGGGGCACTCTGATGGAGACACCTGATGTAAGGAGGCACTCTGATGGGGACACCTGATGTAAGGAGGCACTCTGATGGGGACACCTGATGTAAGGAGGCACTCTGATGGGGACACCTGATGTAAGGGGGCACTCTGATGGAGACACCTGATGTAAGGGGGCACTTGGATGAGGACACCTGATGTAAGGAGGCACTCTGATGGGGACATCTGATATAAGGGGGCACTCTGATGGAGACACCTGATGTAAGGGGATACTCTGATGGGGACAGTGATGTAAGGGGATACTCTGATGGAGACACTTGATGTAAGGGGGCACTCTGATGGGGACACCTGATTTAAGAGGGCGCTCTGATGGGGACACCTGATGTAAGGGGATACTCTGATGGGGACAGTGATGTAAGGGGATACTCTGATAGGGACATCTGATGTAAGGAGGCACTCTGATGGTGACACCTGATTTAAGAGGGCGCTCTGATGGGGACACCTGATGTAAGGGGCACTCTGATGGGGACACCTGATGTAAGGAGGCACTCTGATGGGGACACCTGATGTAAGGGGGCACTCTGATGGAGACACTTGATGTAAGGGGGCACTCTGATGGAGACACTTGATGTAAGGGGGCACTCTGATGGAGACACTTGATGTAAGGGGGCACTCTGATGGGGACATCTGATATAAGGGGGCACTCTGATGGAGACACCTGATGTAAGGGGATACGCTGATGGGGACACTGATGTAAGGGGGCACTCGGATGAGAACACCTGATGTAAGGAGGCACTCTGATGGGGACATCTGATGTAAGGAGGCACTCTGATGAGGACCCCTGATGTAAGGAGGCACTCTGATGGGGACACCTGATGTAAGGGGCATTCTGATGGGGACACCTGATGTTAGGGGCACTCTGATTGAGACACCTGATGTAAGGGGCACTCTGATGAGGACATCTGATCTAAGAGGGGACACTGATGGGGACACATGATGTAAGAGGACACTCGGATGGGGACACCTAATATAAGGCGGGCACTCTGATGGGGACACCTGATGTAAGGGGCACTCTGATGGGGACACCTGATGTAATGGGGCACTGTGATGGGGATACCTGATGTAAGGGGGCGCTCTGATGGGGACACCTGATGTAAGGGGGTATTCTGATGGGGACACCTGATGTAAGGGGGTACTCTGATAGGGACATCTCTTGTAAATTGGGGGATAGGGACTACATTCACAGATCAGATAGGCTAGATCCAGTCCTGGATGTCTTATGTCTACACAAGGGGGCATTGTACAGGGCAGTTATCTCACGTGAATATTGTTGCTGTGACAAATGGTCTGGTGACAGGTTCTCTTTGAGTTTTAGGTGGAGTTCACTTACTTGTTATGTGTTGAGGCTGCGTCTTTTGGGGGATGGACCGGAGCTCTGCTTCTTGATGACAGTTGATTGTATTTCAGTGGAGTGATGCTCTCTGCCGATCGTTGAATGGTGCACTGAAAACAAAGTCTATGACTGGTATACATAGAAATGTTCGGTGCTTGCCTGCAGATCCTAATCATGGACACAGCAATGTTTGTAGGGAAAAGACCAAAACCTTTCTTGTGTCTCACTGGGAGTAAAACAACCGATGCGAACTGACATCCCCCCTAGGCAGCAGACCTGCTGAATGTAGACATCTGATATAAGGAGGCACTCTGATGGGGACATCTGATGTAAGGGGGCACTCTGATGGGGACATCTGATGTAAGGGGGCACTCTGATGGAGACATCAGATGTAAGGGGGCACTCTGATGGAGACATCAGATGTAAGGGGGCACTCTGATGGAGACATCAGATGTAAGGGGGCACTCTGATGGGGATACCTGATATAGGGGCACTCTAATGGGGACACCTGATGTGAGGGGGCACTCTGATGGGGACACCTGATGTAAGGGGGCACTCAGATGGGGACACCTGATGTGAGGGGGCACTCTGATGGAGACACCTGATGTAAGTGGGCGCTCTGATGGGGGATGGGGACCACACCTCCAGATCAGATAGGCTAGATCCAGTCCTGGGATTTTTACACAAGGGGGGATTTTACAGGGCAGTTATCTCACGGGAATATTGTTGCTGTGACGAATGGTCTGGTGACAGGTTCTCTTTGAGTTTTCGGTGGAGATCACTTACTTGTTATGTGTTGAGGCTGCGTCTTTTCGGGGATGGACCGGAGCTGCTTCTTGGTGACAGTTGATTGTATTTCAGTGGAGTGATGCTCTCTGCCGATCGTTGAATGGTGCACTAAAAAGCAAAGTCTATGACTGGTATACATAGAAATGTTCGGTGCTTGCCTGCGGATCCTAATCATGGACACAGCAATGTTTGTAGGGAAAAGACCAAAACTTTTCTTGTGTCTCACTGGGAGTAAAACGACCGATGCAAACTGACATCCCCCCTAGGCAGCAGATCTGCTGAATGTAGACATCTGATATAAGGAGGCACTCTGATGGGGATACCTGATATAGGGGCACTCTAATGGGGACACCTGATGTAAGGGGGAACTCTGATGGAGACATCTGATGTAAGGGGGCACTCTGATGGAGACATCTGATGTAAGGGGGCACTCTGATGGGGACATCTGATGTAAGGGGGCACTCTGATGGAGACATCAGATGTAAGGGGGCACTCTGATGGGGATACCTGATATAAGGGGCACTCTGATGGGGATACCTGATATAAGGGGCACTCTAATGGGGACACCTGATGTAAGGGGGAACTCTGATGGAGACATCTAATGTAAGGGGGCACTCTGATGGAGACACCTGATGTAAGGGGGCACTCAGATGGGGACACCTGATGTGAGGGGGCACTCTGATGGAGACACCTGATGTAAGTGGGCGCTCTGATGGGGGATGGGGACCACACCTCCAGATCAGATAGGCTAGATCCAGCCCTGGGATTTTTACACAAGGGGGATTTTACAGGGCAGTTATCTCACAGGAATATTGTTGCTGTGACGAATGGTCTGGTGACAGGTTCTCTTTGAGTTTTTGGTGGAGATCACTTACTTGTTATGTGTTGAGGCTGCGTCTTTTCGGGGATGGACCGGAGCTGCTTCTTGGTGACAGTTGATTGTATTCCAGTGGAGTGATGTTCACTGCCGATCGTTGAATGGTGCACTGAAAAGCAAAGTCTATGACTGGTATACATAGAAATGTTCGGTGCTCGCCTGCAGATCCTAATCATGGACACAGCAATGTTTGTAGGGAAAAGACCAAAACTTTTCTTGCGTCTCATTGGGAGTATAACGATCGATGCGAACTGACATCCCCCATAGGCAGCAGACCTGTATCCTACCATCTATGGAACAAATGAATCCTAATACACCTACAGTATGGATACTGAAAATACATTGATAACACTCAGAGTGGATTGGAGGAGCGAGGAAACGTCTTCACATTACGCAATGAGTCCAGTTAAATGTTTTGTTTTATTTAGTTTCGTTTTTTAAATAATTTAGTTTCGTTTGTTTTTGGAATTCATTTCGTTTATTTTTTTTTTAATTCAATTAAAACTAAATTTGGCCAAATTCCGAAAATTCAAATCGGAATTCGAATTCAATTTGGCGTTCAACGTCAAATTTATTCTATTTGAAATCTGAATTTTGTAAGATGGTTTTCTTTTTTCTATTTTATTTTATTCTATTGTTTTTTTTTCTATTCTATCTTTTTCTATTATTTTCTTCTTTTTTTTTTAAATTCTATTATTTTCTAGTCTAAACAAAGCTATTTGAATTTTAAAAAAAACGCACGTCTAGTTGAGTATGTCTGACTAATACTAGCTGGTTCTCAAGTGTGCATTTTAAACCTGTGGTTAGCTGTTTGCCTGGAGTTCAGCTTTAAGTTGGGAGGGTAGCCATTCATGTAGGTAAGAACCAGGCGCGGACTGACCATTCGGAATCTCGGGCACTGCCTGAGGGCCCGGGGTCAGTAAGGGGCCCCATGAGATGCCTCTGGTACCTTTCATAGGAT